TTTATTTAATAAATAACTACAAATGTTCACTGTGTAAGGCATTACAATTTTTTATAACAAATGTTCAATACAAAGAAAATCAACCAAGAAATTAATATGATTTACACAAAAATCATTGTTTTTAATGTTTTCTATGCAAATAAATATATAACAGCTAATACAGTTCAATTTCCCAGAATCTCATAATCATGTAATAAGTGACCTAAAAATTATTACAATCTATTTTCTTTTCTTTAGTTATTGAGAAAAATCTGACTAAAATTGGATTATCAGTAAGGTATAATGAGTTCCAGAAAGGATTAGGATATCCTTTGTCCTTGTTAATTTAATAATCCTGGAATACTTTTAATAGCCAACAACAAAAGAAAAATTGTCATTTTAAGAGTAAATTTACTTAGATTTGATGTATATCATATATGACAAGAATATCAAAATAATGATGCCCTTGTATATATCATTAACTAATTTTAATAAAACGAGGCTCAAAATGTCTGGTAAGAAAGCACCATGAGTTTTTTTCCCCCTTCAAAAGGAAAATTAAAAGATTTCTGTAAATGCAATTGCCAAATTGTTCATTTGTCATAATAAAAGAACAAGCATAAATTCAGCATCAGAATTTTTATCAAAGAATTAAAAAATAACAGTTTGCAAGAAAAAGAAAGAAATTAGAAAACATTCTCATGAATAACAGTCAGTTTTCCCTAAAAAGTGCTCTATGAAATCATCTCTTAGGCAGATAGCCATCAATTACTTTGCCATATTCAAATAACCATTAAAGACAATCTTTAAAAAAAGATGGAATTTTTTGAATGATAGGATGATATTTATACTAAAACTAAATATGCTGAGTTAGATCACATATTAAAATGAAATAGATTGATAAGGATGACATCTACATTTAAACCAAATAAAGATTGAATTTTACAAGCCAGAAAATAATGAAAAAAATAATACATTTAGCATAATATATTTTCCATTGCATGTACTAATACAAAGATGGCCAGATAGAGTGAAACATTTTATATCATGCTAGATAAATATACATTTAGACTAACATGGGAACGGAATATACCTTCTGTACATTAGATATTATGCAATTATATTAAAATATTTCATGTTTGTTATTAGATGTATTATGAATTAAATGCATTTTTTATTTAAATCAATCAAATTAAAAAGTAAAAAAAAAATATTATTCTTCAGAACTGTATCTATTGTTTTTGAACAGCTTAATTTGTTTATGAATAACAAGCAAATTAAACCTGAAAGATAAATATTTTACAATTTGATGAATGTCAGAAGATTCAAATGAAAAATGCACTTACAGTGAAGCAATGCTAAATCATGTTTCGAGACTAACAGCCTTAGGGCTAAAAGGTATATAACTAAGAGACTGCGTACATTAAAAAAAAAATTACTGTCATTTGAGGAAAAATTTTTTATGAATGACTAATGTCATTCATACATTTAATATATTGCTTATTGTTATTACATTTAAGAATACTGCTGCAGCATTTAAATTGAGACACAAATAAACAAAATACTCAAAAATGTTTAAAAAATTTCATAACTTTATGGTGCAGATAAAATTATGAAAATAAAGAACGAAAATGTGCTACGATCAAATCAATGGATGAAAATTGTACCCAGACTATACAGAAAACTAACCAGTTAAAAGAAAATCCACCCTGCTAAAAAGAAATTAAAATTCCTTTTGGAGTTTAATAACAAAGATATCTCTAGAATTCCTGATGGATAAATTAAGTCACATGACAGATTATGAAAATTCCAGAATTTATATTACAAATAAAAAATTCGCAGAAAATACAAAATCAGACTCATCTACCCACACTAAATGAATAATATGCAGTAGAAAGCATAACACTATATAGCACCTTTAGGGTAAGGCATCAATTAGTGTAGACTTTTGCTGTGGCCAATTCGCTTAAAGACGGCAATTAGGACATGGCATTATCATGAATGCATTCTCTGTTAATTACCCACATACATTCACATTATTATTGTTTAGAATTTAGGAATGACAATAATTTTTTTAAGTAAAAATAACAATATTTAATATTATTGATAATATAATAATAATAAACCCCATTTAATTCAAAAGCTTCTAATTTAACAATCTGAAAGCTAATTTTTTGGTTGTACAGTACGGATGGCACCTATGAAAAGAATAAATTCGCAGTATATTTCTCTTCAAATAAGACAGCAGAATTAAATTATTAATGATTCCTAAGTTTGCTTAGTTCTCTTTATACATCTCAAGCAAATGATAGACTATTTTAAAAAAAAAAATCAATAATTTATCTTTGGTCTTTTCAGGTCCTCATTTTATTTTAAATTTCAGTACACTAATAATGAATACAGCAACAGCTACAATCTTACTAAAAAAGTCCTTAGGCAATTATATGAAAATTATTTGAAATAATTTGTACATTTGCAATTCTAGAACAGTATTCTGCAAGACTACATAGCAAAAATAGGTCAAGCTACAGCAGTTTGCGATATCATTGACTGACTGACAAGCTAGTTGCTTCAGAACACAAAAATCATTTTTATTTATAGAATTCATAAGCCTTACAAAAAAAAAAAATAAATAAATAAATAAAAAATTCTACAATAGAAAATGTTAATGTACAAAGTAAGGAAATAATTATTAACCTTATTTTTTATCAGTATCTTGAAACAATATATCATAATGAATAACAAAATATAAATAACCACTAGAAATCAATTTTTATTAAACAATTAAAAAAAAATAACCGTTTCCAAATATAAGAAAGAAATTAAATAAAAAGTAATGGATTCTTTGAATGATAAAAATGATATTCAAAATGGCCAACATAAACAGTCTAATAGCATAAAATTATTTTTGCTTGATTATCAAAATTTCCTTTGATATTAATATTGTGCAATTTATGTTTTACGATTACCTAACTCATATATTAATTTAATAAATTATGGCTCTAATCAGTCTGCAAAACTAATTAAGATTAGGTGATTTATGATAATAAAAATTATATTTTAAATTAATTTCTCAAAGATAAGTACATAAAACCTTATATTTTATTTTAGTTATTTATAACTACAACATTTATATACTTTCTTTAATATACTGCATTTTTGCTTTCCTTATTACTTCTCTGCAGCAAATAGACTTTTTCATATATGTAGTTATTACTTGAATAACAATACATATATTTTGTAGCTATATTTTAATATCATATTCATACACATGCAGGGGATTTTCATGATAACAAAGCACTTTATGAATGTCTATGGTAAATTTCTTGCTTTCAGAAGTTATGAAGAGAATCATAATTGAGTAAGACATGACTATATGTGTGTGTAATATATAATGGAATATATCATATAATTGATACTTAGCAATTATATTATAAGAGTAATGATTATTTTCATTTAAACATAAAAGAACATTATCATTAAAAAATTAAATACTTTAAAATCCCCTCCTCCAGCTTTCCCCCTTATAGGTATATTTCATTCTTTAAAACTTAGTTACTAATTAAAATGCATATTTTATGAAATTTATTTTGCATTATTAATTCTAGGAAATGTATTTTAAAATATTTCACATTAAAAGGTGTATATTAATAAATTCTACCATAAATTCCCAAAATTACATTAAAAGCATACTTAAAAATACATATATTTTTAATATAAACAAAACCAAAAATAAATGTAAGAAAAATATGTAAAAATGGCTCATAGCAATTTTTTTCCCTCCCCCACTGTTTATAAAAGTTTCTTTTCAATTATCATTTTACACAGGAGATGTAGTTAATTATTTTTTAGGACAGTTTGAGCAATAAATAATGAGCCATTAAATGTAAAATATGAATCTAAATATTAATAAGAGTGGTTAATTTTCACGTATCTATTCATTAAGAAAAATTACTTCCGTCCAAAAAATGAATTTATTATTAAACATGTAGAGAATTATTACAAGAATTTTTGCATAACACATCTAAAGCAGCTTATCAAATCTTTTCAATAAATGGAATAATATGTGTAAAAGAAAGATAACGTATGTTTACTACGTCAAATGAAGGTAACTGTCATATTAAAATTTATCATTACGTAAATACGTTTCAATACATTTATAAAAGTATAATATATTCTTCTCACTATTTACCTACGTATACGATTCCCCCCCCCAAAAAAATATTACATCATTTTCTAATCGAACAATTTACGCATGTTTACGATATAAATAATTCTGGGTAAAAATGAAAGGCTGTATTATAAAATATAAATTTTATGCCCACTAATTTATAAAACGCTACTGCGGGAAGCGTAATACTCAATAACACTGTTAATTACGCAGTAAATAAGATCATAAATAACAACCTTCACCATTCTCTAAACAAAGAATGTCGTACTTAATAGCATATAACGGCTGGCTAATTGTAAGTAGTCTTGGCAAAATATTAGTTTTATTACCACGTTTATCAGTTGAATTTATGAGTTTAATAAATTTGTAATTTTAATGAAATCTTCCAGGAAGAAATCATTCTATATTACATGGAAATCCTTTACATGGTAAATTACTTTATTTCGAAGTTAATGTAACTGTCTACATTAAATTCAGTACAATAGTGTACTACCAAAAATTTTATTTATTATTCATAACACACGAATTTGCAGTATCGTGGGAACACTCCATTCAATGACCGGGGAATAAAATGTCCATTCCGTGAAAATCAAAACTGAACAAATGTAAACAAGAGGTGGTATTAGAAAAAAAGCAATATGTTAGAAAAACAAAAAAGAAATAATTGTTACTTTTGAAAACATAAGTTTGCCAAATGAGAACGCGTGCAAAAAATTTGCGCCTTATTCTCGATAACCTCTTTGCAAGGCTTAAAAGGGGAAGTCACCAAATTTCGCAACGACCATTTGTCAAAAATATTTCTCAAATTTAAATAAATGACTAGAAGCCAGTGTAATTCAATGCATCTTACCTCGAAAAGTCTGTGATGTATTTTGCATGTCGTAACAATATCTTTCTTAGTTTTTTATCTCTAGCTGCTGTCCGACAAATTCAAGTGAAATATGCATCTGGGTTCTAGAATATAAAATTAGACGCGCGAAGACAAAAGTTCTCCTGACCGTTGTTTATCCGGAGAAGTACCGATAATGTTTTTTTTTTTTTTTTTTTTTTTTCGCTTTCCAGTTTTTTTATTAATCTCGCTAAAAACTGAAGTGGAATGAGGCTATGGATGATATTTTCATAGAAAGCTTTATATTTTTAATAATAAAATTTGAAAAATAAATTGACAAAATCAAAGAAAATTCTTTTATAATTAAATTAATATTTATTTAAATGCTAAAAACTATTAGGAAAATATTTTCAGAATTTCAAAAAAAAAAATTTTTTGCTATGCTGGTAAATTTAATTTCTAAGAAAAATAAAATTATTATTTTCTACAATTTTCTTTATTGGTACTAGACATCTGTTATACTCTGGATGAGCTTCCTGGCTCATTTCTTATGAAACACTAAAGCATTAGTAAGAGAGAAGAAAATCGAAAGCAATTTAAATTTGCAATAAATATCAATTTTTCATCATCATCACATCTATATTTTAATTTACACAATAAGTAAAGATACTTCTGTTTTATATGTCTTTCATTGACTCCGGTAAACTCTGCACTCAATGTTACTGGCAACATTGAACCAGTTTTACGGGGGAATGGTGTATACACCTGGGTACCTGGGCTGAAGGCCCTACCCCTATTTAATAAAATAAAAAAATTACTAATTATGTGAGCATTAAACCCAAAGAAAATTTCTAAATAATAATAAAAAAATTTAGCTATATGAAGAGATTTAAGTAACAAAATGCATAATGAATTTTGTCACAAATAACTTTAAAGTATGTCGTTATATTATAATAAAAAGGTAATAAAGTTAAGCAAAATATTAACATTAACTTCTTAATAACATGTTAATATAAGATAAGAATTTAACAAATGTTGTGAAACAGAGCCGACTAATGGGGGAAGCATCTGATACAAGCTTTTCGAGCCGATGACAAATATCCTGAAAAGGAGACACACAGCAATTGGAAGAATAAACAAGAAGTAGGTGTAACTCCTTCGGTGAAAAATTTAAAAGGGGAAAAGAATAAAATGCAGGTAAACAATGGATAAGTTTGAGCAATTTGAAATATTAAATTGGCACTGGTCCTGTCAAACAAAATACGAAATATATACTCATGTGAGAGAAGATATATACATAAAACAATACGCATAGTTTCAATATATAATACAAGTGCTGGATAATAATGCAGGTAACAGTAAGGAAACATCCATCAGTATTTACATTATGTATGGCCGTAGGGCGTTTGCAGTTAGCAGGATCATTAATGTCGTAATTACATATTTTACTGGCAGGGTTTTGAATATTTTTTTTGGCTTTCGAAAAAATTCCTTGCTAATTTACAATAAATAGTATAAAGCTGGTCCATTTTGAGCTCAAAATGGATACGGTTATTACGAATGTACCAGGGTGAGTTTGAAATTTGACGTAATATACAATTTTGGGCTGTTTGGAGCCTCTTTCTGTCTGATTTGCAAGAATATACCCATACTGGGCAGGCTTAACAGAGCATCGGCAACATTGAATACGTGTACACTAATGCCTAGCATTTCCTCTGCAACAGGAATACATGGACACTAATGGAATTTCCTCTGCACCTAGCATTTCCATTGCAGTTCGAAAACATGTCTTTGCTCAACTAGTCGGACGCCTAGCATTTTCCCATCTAGATTGACTAATCGCCAACTTGGGACGTGTAGACACTTTGAACCCTAATAGGTGGGAGATGGAGGAAGGCGGACTAGATATCTAGTTGGCCTTGGGTGGAGGTTATTAATGGGTTTGATATAGCAAAGATTAGTACATATTATATTAATATACTCTTTATTTTATTCTTAGACAAAAAACCAATGATATGTTTTATTTTGTCCATTTTACTGCTGACACATTGCCTGTAGTTCCTGATTAATGCAAAACGTCAGAATCGACGAAGTCCTAAAAGTCCGCCCGCTATTTAATTCCTTTTATCTGCAACTTTCGTAGAAAGCTTCGAAACAAAAACAATATTTCGACTTATTATATATGATTATGCTTAACATGTGACGAAAATCATAAATATAGCATCATGTAATTCTATATCCACAATCTCGTATCCCAACTTTTCAGTTGCCTTAATGTGCAGCTAAATTTCTCTTCCATAATTTCTCTCCATAGAAGAAATTCCATACTATTTTATTCTTTTCCTGCCGTATTTCAATATTTTTTCTAATGAGTTGTATTCAAAATCACTTTAAATCGTTTATATTTGCATAACGTTTGACCAAGGGTTGTTTATGTATTGAATGCTTGGGTATCAAAACACGGCGATCATTTTAAAACATTTTTCATTAAATTATATCTCTGACATATCTAAATAAGACCAGTTTATCTTCTCCCAAGAGAGAATTCATGCATTTGAGAATTAAACCAGGATTGCGTGTCTTAAAATCTGAATTCATATTATTAGTTGATCCACCAAGTTACAACCTGTCTTTATCGTACGTAAAAACTTATAACGCGTTAACCTAGAGTATGGTAATTAATTATACGGATATCTAGAAAAAAGATTTATCAATAAGATGAACTAATCGTTTCCGGCGATAGAAGTAAGAAGATTACCGATTGTCAGCCCATTTTCAAAGCCCATATCAGAAACATTTATTTCCGAGGGTTAGCGAATTATCATATTGGTACAATCGTAATATCAGAGGTTGCATTTACGTCTAGTTCGTATTCGAAAAAATTCACAAACACATTGTTGGGACATGATGTAATCACGTTTTGAAAGTTCGAGTAACTATTCATAGGAGTTTGAAATAAACTTCAGGTACTCTATTACGGAAAGAAATGTTTAAGAATTATATAATAATTACGGTGGAAAATTAAAAAAATCTGATGACTATAATTTTCGTAAGAATTTACTTTCAACTTAATTTTTTATATTTTCCTCGACATTTTCTAGTGCATTAAGTAAATCTTAATAATGGCAGTAAAGTACCAATAAAATTTGAAAATAGCCTGAGGAATATGCTACGTTTCTTTCAGAAGACGGTTACTCTGTTGTGAAGAAATAAAAGGGTGCAAAAAAATTGGTCCAAATTACAAGATTATTTATTATACAATCAAGTTTAGCATGAAAATATGTCATTTGAATAAAGTTGATAACGAATTAATTTCCTACGAAATAAGGCCATAAAATTGATCTTTAGTGTTATTTATAGAGACAATTTACAAATGCATTAAAATATCTCGGCCATTTGTATGCAAAATGTTTCTTCAGAATATTGACCCCTTGGCAATTTTCATACATCGCTTCTATTTGCTTCAGAAATAGCACCAGTTTGCAAAGGTTTGCTGCAAGTAGCTTCTTAAGCCATCTTTCTGACTGTCCCAAAATAATGAGATACGGTTACATTAGATGAAATGTAAACACATAAATTTATTTATCATACGGTGACAGTAAAAGAGTTCTCCTTTTCTTCATTTTCCCAAATTAAAGAGGGGTTAAAACTTCAAAAACTTTATGCAAGTGGAAAACATTTCCACGAAGACGCATGATTTCAGCCATAGAACACAAAACTGTATGCAACTAAATCTGGTAAAGTGGATCTAAAAAAATTCCTTCTGCCTAACACAAATTCTGACTCTTTTTGGCGTCCCAAGCCTTATGAATACGTCGCTGGCCTCTTTGTTTCAGAGCATTCTAACGTTTTTCTCCTAGCTAGATAAAACTTTCAATATCTTTAATTGCGAAAAGAATCTACTGGAAAAGGACGGGAGTAATAATCTTTTGGAAAATATACATTAAACTATATATCTTAGCCTTGGTTTTATTAGCATAATTTGGCGTTATTTCTACAATTAAAAACTTGCTCTTAGAAATAAGGCTTTTAAAATATAATTGATACTTCATGAAGGTATTTCTTTATAGCGATAATAAAAACAAAAACGAGGCTTTGCTAAGATAAGACCTCAAATCAGGTTCAATGTTTCAGTTCATAGAAAATGCACATGGCGGTCTGATAATTAAGGGAAAAAAACAACTGAATTTACAAAACTAAAATAAGGAAACTGTAAATTCTGCAGTATTTTTTATTCAAAATACATCCCTTTTGCACTGGTACCTCAATTGGCACTATCTAAGAAAGTCTGAAATAACCTGCGTATATCTTTAAAGGATACTGTCAGCAGATTCAATGTTACAACCCTTTAATCTTTAAAATAACCTAAATATCTATAGCTTCGTCAGCGAGGAGTATATTCAATGTCAACTTCAAATTTAGGAACAAAGCATAATCACACAAATGAGTAATAGAGTGGATGGTTAAACATACTGTTACGAAATGTTCAGGAGCGGTAAGATGGCTTCTTCGCAAAGCAGTTTTAGGGTTGCCATAAAATGCAAAGGGACGACAGGGTTGCCACATTTGGCGAGAAACCGCCCATTCAGTGGGCAAGGGGTGACATCTGTCCCCGGGCGCAGCATCCAAGGGGCGCAAAATTGATGCTACAAGTTTTAGAATGAAATGTTTTCCATTCTTGGAACACAGAAAGGGGCGCAAAATCTTTTAGTTGTCCCCGGGCGCTTAAAACTTTAGCTACGCCTCTGCGCCCATTTGGCGACAAAATTGGCGATATGTAATGGACGGATGGAGAATCTTCTGGAACAAATTCTTACTGGTTTAGCCCAGAATGTTCTCGAACACCAGTCGAAAGCTATATAAATCCTGCTAGTTCGCAGTCAGTTAGTGTGTGTGCCTCGTCTAGCGAGCTGATAGTCAGTCATTGAGCGAGTGTCTCGAAGTCTAGCGCCGAGTTGGTCATCGAGTGCATCGAGAGTCTTTTAGTGCATCGTCGAGTTTTGTCTTAGACTGTGCTGAGTCAAGAGCTATACTCTTGTGTATCGTCGAGGCCAGGAACAAATCCAACACGACGGCCCTGTATTAAATTAAACGGGAGAAATATCAAGTTCGTTAAAAATCTTAAATATCTAGGAGTAACATGGGACCCCGGTCTAACCTTTA